CTCCAAAGGCTCCACCTCTTAATACCATCACCTTGGGAGTAAGAATCTCAACATAGGAATTTTAGGGAGACACAAACATTCAGATCATGGCAGTGATATACTGTAATAGTATTTCATGAAAATAATTATTCACTAATTAATAACTATTAAGTGATGTTTCATTTCCTTGACTAGTTCTTTAGTCTTTAAACTAGCAATCATTTTAAAAGACGAACAACTTCAATCTTAGAGATCATACATATTTTTTGAGACAGAGTTTCACTGTGTTGCCCAGGCTGGAGTGCAGTGGCATGATCTTGGCTCACTGCAACCTTCACCTCCCTGGTTCATGTGATTTTCCTCCCCCAGACTCCTAAGTAGCTGGGACTATAGGCATGTGCCACCATGCCTAGCTAATTTTTGTATTTTTAGTAGAGATACGGTTTCACTATGTTGGTCAGACTGGTCTCAAACTTCTGGCCTCAAGTCATCCACTTGCCTCAGCCTCCCAAAGTGCTGGGATTACAGGCATGAGCCATCACACCTGGCCTTAGAGATTATATTTAAATTCAGCAGAATACTTCCAGCACAAACTAAAATTTGTATTTTCAAAACAAAACTTAATGACAACTCCCAGTTTGTATGTTGCTTCCTTTTAAATTTGGACATAAATTAAAACTCCAGGTAGTCACGTGGAATGAAGTCATTCAAGTTCTCTTTCTTTGCTGTTGCAATCATCATGCTGTCATTATTTATTTCAAATCATTGTTTATTTTAAATTTCTGTTTCAACACAACCATCTGTGGTATCACAGAGAGTGGGGATATGAATGTGCCCCAAGTAAACTAAAATTTTTTTCAAGCCATCGTGAACCTGACTTTGAAAATAACCTGAGTAGCTGCTCCACCAGTGTCCTGTAGTGGGGGCAATCACATTCACTGGGAGTTTCCAAATTAACTCGCATGCAGAATGCGATTTATATTAAAGGATGTCATACAAACGCACTCGTGTTAAGGTTACATCTATCTTATTAAAGTTCAACAATAACCACAGAAACCGTTTAGAACTTAAAACCAAAAAAATATGTTTTTGAGGAGTGTTTATCACCAATGATGTTTAGTATTGCTCACATATGGTGCTAATAAAAAGCAGATGAATGAAAAAAAAAATCTGGAGGTAACAGATGCTGGAGAGGATGTGAGAAATAGGAACACTTTTACATTGTTGGTGGGAGTGTAAATTAGTTCAATCATTGTGGAAGACAGTGTGGTGATTCCTCAAGGACCTCGAAATAGAAATTCCATTTGACCCAGCAATCCCATTACTGGGTATATAGCCAAAGGATTATAAAGTGTTCTATTATAAGGACACATGCACACGTATGTTCACTGCAGCACTGTTTACAACAGCAAAGACCTGGAACCAACTCAAATGCCCATCGATGATAGACTGGAAAAGGAAAATGTGGCACATATACACCATGGAATACTACGCAGCCATAAAAAACGATGAGTTCGTGTCCTTTGTAGGGACATGTATGAACCTGGAAACCATCATTCTCAGCAAACTGACACAAGAGCAGAAAATCAGACACTGCATGTTCTCACTCATAGGCGGGTGTTGAACAATGAGAACACATGTACACAGGGAGGAGAGCATCACACACTGGGGTCTGTGGGGAGGATCCAGGGGAGGGACAGTGGGGGGTGAGGAGTTGGGGAATGATAACATGGGGAGAAATGCCAGATACAGGTGATGAGGAGGAAGGCAGCAAACCACATTGCCATGTATGTACCTATGCAACAATCTTCCATTTTCTCCACATGTACCCCAAAACCTAAAATGCAATTAAAAAAAAAAATATATATATATATATATGTATATATAATGTTGGGACCAGCAAGTTGATTTCACTGTGTTTTAATGGATCAGGTTCTCACAGTATAAAAACCATTAGGGTCATTGTCCAGGTTTTGGAGTCAGAGGGACCCAGGTTTGAATCCTGGTTTGGACAACTGGAAGCTGTATAAACTTAGTTAGGCAAATCATTCCCACTCTATCACAGAAGACTGAGTTTCTTGATTTGTAAAATGGGGATGTCATAGAGCCTGCTTCAAGGGGTGACTGTGAGGATTAAATGGGATAAAAAAAAAAAAGAGCTCAGTTCTGAAGTCAGAATTCTTGAGATAATATTCCATTCTACCATTTAGCGGTGATGTGATCTTGGTCAAGATGCTTATCTTCTGTGTTTCAGTGCTCTTATTTATAAAACAGAAATACTAATTGTTCTCTTCAATGCATGTGAAACATTTACAGAACTGGGCATAGAGTATGCACTCAATAAATGTTAGTGTTTATTATTATCTATTCCAAATGTGACAGCAGTAAATTACGTATAATATAAACTGATTGGCAAAACTGCCAAACATAGTAAAAAAGTCCTTGCAATGACACCAATAGCTTATTGAATTCTTACTATGTTCCAAACATTGTTCTTAGATCTAAACAGTAATTATTTAATTACGACATCTCAACCATTTTAATATTATTCTCAGTTTACAGACAAGAGAATTAAGGAACAGATAATGTACTTGCCTATGATGGCAGAATTCATGGAATGGAGTGCAATCCAGGCCCACTTTCAGAGTTCATAGTTCCTCTTTCTTCCCTATCAAAAAATAAATATAAAATTTAAAAATTGGCTTTCATAGGTGACAGCATTTGTTAAAGCACTGCATGTTTTAAAAATGTATTAGCTCCACTCCTGATTAATGTATTTATTCAATTAGTAAACTATTTTCTGATTAAAATTTTCTCGTAAATTTTTAATTAAATAAGACAGCTTCACAGAATAACACACTGGTCAGGTAGGAAGAAGTCTTCAGAGCACCTAATTTAAACTTCCATTCTATCACTATGGAAACATCCAGAATGGTGCCACAATTTTGTCCTAGATGACATAGTTAGTCAACGGCTGGCAGGTTTCAGGATTCTGTAAAGAATTCTTTTCAGGCCGGGCGCGGTGGCTCACGCCTGTAATCCCAGCACTTTGGGAGGCCCAGGCGGGTGGATCACGAGGTCAAGAGATCGAGACCATCCTGGTCAACATGGTAAAACCCCGTCTCTACTAAAAGTACAAAAAATTAGCTGGGCATGGTGGCGCGTGCCTGTAATCCCAGCTACTTAGGAGGCTGAGGCAGGAGAATTGCCTGAACCTAGGAGGCGGAGGTTGCGGTGAGCGAGATCGCGCCATTGCACTCCATCCAGCCTGGGTAACAAGAGTGAAACTCTGTCTCAAAAAAAAAAAAAAAAAAGAATTCTTTTCAGTGCATTATACTTAAATGATATTTACGTGGATCATTTGTTGGCAAAGCATTACCAAAATATCACCCACATATTTGAAAAATAATACAAGCCGTCATCACCATTATTATATAGTTCAATTATTTTCAGAGATGATGTTTAGATGGGCTGGGCGTCACTAACGAATCTGCATCAGAAAAATTTCTTCAAAAAAAGATTCTATTCAAATAAAGTCGTCTGCAATTTCTACCTCTCATTCTTCCAAGTATTAAATAGAACTGTTGAAAAGTTTTACATTGGGCACAATGGGCGATTGCCATGACCGTCCCTTCCACATAAATGCCCAGTCTCACGCTCGTCCCTAGGTTGGAGCTGAGGAAAAGAGGTGGGAAGAACAGAGCCGCCGGAGGCAGGGAGGGCGGGGCTACGGGCGGCAGGGCCATTGGCCAGGAGCCTGAAGGGGCGAGACCACTAACCGCTTGCTTCCTATTGGACGGCGCGGCCTGTTTTGCGCATGTGCTGCCCGGTTCAAACCCGGCTCGCTCTGTTTCTGTTTGTTGAGGGCGTAGCCAATGGGCGGCCTGCGTTGTTAGCGCGCGCCTTCCGGACCGTCGGTCTCGTAGTCGTTGCCTTCAACTTAAAGGTGTTGCTTGGCCGCCGCCTCGCAGTCCGGCGACTAGTTTCTTGCTCGGCCTCCTGGAGCTGTGGCCCGTGTGGATTTCCACCTCAGACCTCTGCGCGAGCTCAGCGGGGCCGGAACATGGCTGCCTCGGGTCTGGTAAGGGCGGGCCCCGGCGCTACGGGCGAGCAGTTAAGCGCACAGGCGCCCGAGGCGTGGGAGAAGGAAACGCTGGGCTGGGGCTGTGGTCTCTGACGGATTTCAGTGGGAAAGCCGCAGGAATTTTTGAAATGAAGTGTGATCGTTTGTCGATAACCAGAGTTAATCTATTGTACTTGTATTATTTAAGTTTTCATGTCGTCATTTCGTCTATGCCGACGTCTTATCTTAGTTTTGAGAGGTGCTTGTGATTCCTGCCTTTTAGTCTAGCTGCAGTTCCTAGGCCTCCAAATACTTTGCTGCCCATAGTAGGAGTATTGAAACGCCTTAAAAATGTGCCTTTGCGTCACACTCGCTAGTTGGGGGGAGCAGATTATGTAACAACTATATCTGGAAATAATCTGACATTTCAGTTCTTTTGTCAAAGTGGTAACCTTATATGCAGTTCTTGTGGCTGATATTTATGGGGCATCAGTTATTGACAAAGTCTTCTGAAAGACATCTGTTAGTTAAAAGGTGCAAGCTGTGAATGACTGATGGAGGCAGCAACTCATATTTTGTGTTGGTGATTTACTTCTCTTTCAGAATCATCTCAAAAATGACTACAGAAGAAGATTTTGTCGACCTTCCAGGTGATTTATGTACTTAAACTTTTAAGATTATTTTTATTACCATCTTTACGTAGTAGATTTTTAAGTGAAGAAAGGAAAAACTATCGCCTCTGACTAAAATGATTTCTTTGCCCGCTTAAGAGTAGTCATCTTAGTTATTTTATGTTAACAGAGGAATGTTAATGCAAGCAGTGCAGTGACTTTGTGGCAGTGAAAAAAGAAATCCACCTGATACAATAGCGGAACCAGTGAGAGACAGTCTCAATTCTGACTACGTGACTGCCATGGGAAAAGGATTTTGTAGCATGAATCAAATGGTAAAATTAGAAATATGTAGCTTATTCAGTGGGACAAAAAGAAAAATAATAATGCTGTCATGCGTTTATTTCTTGGGTGCTTATTTGGGTTGTTTTGGTCCTTTTAATTATAAAACCTGTTAAAAGTAAATTTTCTAGTTAAATATTTAATAGTAATAGGATGAAAAGCATGTTTTTAAAAGTGAAGATGTTATTGTGAATAACATCTTGTTTATTGAGCTGTGATTTTAGTAGGTCCAATGGGGCACAGAAATACTTTCTTTTCCTTACAAGAAGCTTTCATTTCTATTGGGAAAATGTACATTTATGAAATAATTTAATGGACAAAAATTTCCACTTTTAATACTGAAGTAATGACTTGTGTATTATAGAGAGTAGGCCTATATATAATTAGGAATTAACTTGCAGTATAGACAGCCATGTAAGAAATAAGGGATTTGTGTGTTGTTGATATTAAGGAAAGCTTTAAAGTTGTAGTGTTACTTAGGTGGATCTTGAATAGGGATTTAAAGACTAAGATAAAGTACATTGCAGACATAGAAAGTAACTTAAAAAAGGAACCAAAGTAGGAATACATTTATTTGTCAGTAGCAGAGAGACCTGATTTAAGAAGGTGAATATGTGGGGTGTTAGTGGAAAATGACCATATGAGTTGGATTGAGCCAGAAAATGGATATGTTAGACTTTAGGCATTTATTATAGGCTTGATTTTATAAGCTGTCCTAAATCTTCTGTGGAATAAGGGCTGTCTGATGTAAAAACACACACATGTAAAAAAGCAAAGAGGTTTGATGTTTACTAGGTAGCTTAAGAAAGGGGTTGTAGTAGCCTAGACATGATGTAGGTGCTTTTATGCTAAGGTAATGATGACAAGGCAGGAGAAAAGATGAATTTGATAAATTTTGAAAAAGCTATTGTCTAGACTAATGTGACCTGTGTTTTAATAGTGACTGCATTATCACCTTTGACAAATCTATCTTTTTGGATCTCATCCATGAAATAGGTAATAGCAGGAGTGTGTTTATAGTTGGAAATATATGCACCTGTAGGTGGTATTCTGGGCTGGTGTCAAGGGCAGAATTTATAATAGTGACCTATATTTTGGTAGAAAGCCAGCCACTAATATAATTAAGTTTACAAACTGAGACCATTTGCCCAATTTGGATTTCAGTTTGCCTATCTGTAAAATGAGGGCACAAGATTCAGCTAGTGTTTTTTAACTAGATTCGCATATCAGAATTATCTCAATCACCCTAGAAAATCTGATTAAATTGGTCTGTGGGAAGTGACCAAATATGTGTATTTCTGCAAAGGTACAAAAGTAATTTTATGCATCTATTTGGATGATAATTATTAGACTGGATGATTTCTGAGATGTTTCAGTTATAAAAGTTTATGATGGATGACCATCATAATGCATTGTGGCTCACAATCTTTAATTACTTCATATATAGTATACTTTCCAAGAATAATAGAAATTCTGTAGATGAGGGATCAGTTAACTTTGGCTGATAGGCCAGTCAAATGTTTTGTCACAGGTTTTGTTTCAGTTTTATTGGAATACAGGCATGCCTCTTTATTTACATATTGTCTGTGGTTGCTTTCGGGTTAAAATGGGAGAATCGACTGGCTGTGACAGAGACCGTATAGGCTACAAGCCTAAAATGTTTACCATCTGGCCTTTTAAGCAAAAGTTTGACAACCCTGTTAGAGATGCATGTCAAAATTTTATACTGATTGAAATCCAGATGTTCTTCAACAGGTAAATGGTTGAACACTGCGGTATACACATAGTGTGGAACACTACTTTTCTCTAAATAGCAAAGAAATATTGATACATTCAACTGCGATTGATCTCCATTGAATTGTGTTGAGGGAAAAAAGCCAGGGCAAAGAATACATACTATATGATTCTAGTTACTTTTAATTTTTTCCAAATGACACAATTTTAGAAATAGAGAACATATTAGTGGTTGCCAGAGGTTAGGAATGAGAGGAGGCATGAAAGAGGAGAGAGAAAGGTGGTTATGGTTATAAAAGGACAATAGAGGATCTTTGTGATGATGAAACTATTCAGTATCTTGACTCTGGTTGTTTTATATGAACGTGCAGATGTGATACGTTGTGTAGAAATAAATACACGTAAACATGAACATATTCAGAAATGAGAACATGTAGAACTGGAGAAATCAGAATAGCATTGGTAGATTGTATCAATATCAGCACCCTGGTTGTGATAATATGCTATAGTTTTGTAAACTGTCAGCACTGAGGAGCACTGGGTAAAGTGAACAAAGAATTTCTATTATTTTTTATAGCTGCATGTGAATCTAGAAGCTCAATATAATTTTTAATTAAAATTTATATTGATTCATAAATTGTTAATATTAATGATACTGAATCAAAAATGCATTTGAGAACTTATAGGGAGGAATATGTTACTTGGAGATGTAACTGTAAAGTCTGTTAAAAAAGCATTTCAGGACTGATTGGACTCATTCAAAAAAATTTGTGCTGAGATACAGCAGTAATCTAGAACAGCTTTAGACATGGCTTTAGTGATGGCTGTTCAACTAAGAAATGTAATTGTTAATGTAGATTATGATATACTAATTCTTATTCGGAAAGAAGGAGTTCATTAGAGGGAATTCATAGACCCTCAAGTAATTGTTTTATCTTCAGATAGTAAAGGTATTTTACATATTAATTTAATTAATATTTTATAGTGAGATCTGGAATTTTCAGGTAGATGGTAGTATAAAAAAATATCTTCTGAAAATGATTGGTTATATTTTCTCTTTCTTTATTAGGGCACGGGACATTAACACAGAGCAAGGTCAGAATGTTCTGGAAATCTTACAAGACTGTTTTGAAGAAAAAAGTAAGGCTTCATTTCAAGATGGAATTTGAGGATTAGGTGGATGAAAATATGAGTTTGTCATGGTAATTAACATCAAATGCAGCAAATATGTTCTAGGGTTTAAATATATGTAAAGTATTTTCCCTAGAATTTTGAGTTCATGTGCAATGCTTTGTGTACCTTCTGGCATACTTAGGATAATACTGACAAAAATAACAATAATTTGACAATAATTTGTCATCACCTTTAGTTCATATTAGATTACTGTAATCTGGAAGTCCATATGTAATTACCATACACAAGAAAAAAATACTTATTTATGTTTTTGAGACATAGTCTTGTTCTGTCACACAGGCTGGTATGCGATGGTACTATCTCAACTCCCTGAAGCCTCTGCCTCCCAGGTTCAAGCAGATTCTATTGCCTCAGCCTTCCGAGTAGCTGGGATTATAGGTGTGTGCCACCACACCTGGCTAATTTTTATTTTTATTTTAGTAGCGACCAGGTTTCACCATGTTGGCCAGGCTGATATCAAACTCCTAGCCTCAAGTGACCTGCCCACTTCAGCCTCCCAAAGTTTTGGGATTATAGGTGTAAGCCACTGCACCCAGCCAGAAAAAATACTTCATATAATGAAAATAGATGTGTAGAATTCTTGACATCGTTAGAGAATTTGGGATGATCTTTGGTGATATATATGCCTGTTTAAGGAAGTCATGAATTATAGCAAATACTTTTCCAAGTACTGATTAGCATCAGCAGGTATTGGAATAAGAGTAAGCTAGCCAAAGAAATAGGGGCAGATGATAGAAAAGAATGTTTTCTATACAAGTTCTGAACGAAGAGCTGGCATATATTGATACTTTAGGTGTTTTTTTTTTTTCTTCTTGATGCTTCTCAGGAACATTTGAATATTGAAGTAATGTCTCTACTTGACTTAAGCTAATTGTGGTCAGTGAGTCAACAGATGGTTCTTCACATGCCATATAGCTATTTTTAATTGTAACTAATAGATATTACGTTATATCTTGTTTTTGAAAATTTTGTACTTTTGTTTTAGGTCTTGCCAATGATTTTAGTACAAATTCTATGAAATCAGCGCTTTATTCAACACCCAAAATAAAAGACACTTGTATTCAGTCACCAAGCAAAGAGGTAAGTGATAAAGGAGAGCTGGTATAGATTTAATATTTTAATGAATGAAGGTATGCACAATATACTTATGTATATTTTAGTTGTTTGCAAGTCTTATTCTTGAAAGGGAATTCCGTATTCCCGTTGACTTTCTTTAGAATTTGGAGATATTTTGTGAAAAGTTTTATTTGATATTTTCTGTGTTGGAATTGAGGTTATGGGAATTAGAGTTATCAAATTATAACATACATTTTTCCCTTCTCCTAAAATAATACTCAAATTAGGTTTTTAGGAAAATGGGCAGGGATTGAAGTTGCTGTTCAGGTTGACAGGTTTGGTTATATTCTAAAAAATGAAGGTACTACCTTGCTGTAAAGGGAAATCAGTCTTCTGTTGATTATATATTTTAATCGTTTGCTGTTAGTTTGATCAGAAATAAAGTATTGGTTGACTTAACTATACTAAATAGCAGACTTTCAAATAAAGTATTTGAAGCTAATCTAAGGCAAATTGTTCAAAAGCACAGTACTAATTTGAGAAATCATATAGTGCTAGAAATAACATTTACTAGAAAACTGTAAAAGGCTGTCAACATATTAAACATATGCAGCCTTTTAGCGCCAAGGAATGAAGACAAAACCATTTCTTTCAGAATTGACTGAAACATGATAAATTACATTGGTTTTTGAAAGTTAAAGAAACTTTAGGTTTTCTGGGATAAACTTAACTTGGTCATAAAGTGTTAAGTTTTTTGATTAGGTTTGCCTAATATTGAAGATGTTTGCTTCTATGTTTATGAACAATACTGTCTTTTTTTCTTAAAATGTTCTTACAGGGCTTTGGTATCAAGGTTATGCTAGAGGTTCTTCTAGATAGGACGCAATAAGTCACAGAAGGCTAACACTCCTGCTAAAGCAACTATTTTAAAAAATGCAAACGGATTTTATTTTTAGAGATCTGAGGAGCTGTGGAAACAATAAAGACTAGCAAAATATAGCGTGTAGCTAATTTTCTTCCCTTCTGAGGCAAAATTCTTCTTTACTCTACTGTGTTCTGTTCCTTATGTAGGTTTTCCACTCTGGCTGGTAGGTACAGGCATTATTTTAGGTCCTGTGTGACTGGGAGGATATTCCCTCTCAAGGCTTCGGGTGGTTCTTTCTCTAGTTTTCTTACAACACATTCTCTGTTCAAGTATTTGATTGAATGCTTAAGAGAGATCTGTACATTCTGAAGTTTTCTCTGTGTAACTGCCTCCCGTCCAGTATTTTACCTTGTAAAATCTAACCACCTTGGTCTTCCTGAATCCTCAGCTTTGGCTCGTCAACTGAAGATTTCCCCTGTGTGTCACGTCCTGGAAATGGGTGGATCAGAGGGTTCACTTCATTTGTTTCCCATCTTAAGAATCATTTTCTTTGTTTTTCAATTTCATATTTCTTGAGAATCTTGTATGTTTTTTCTCTTTTTAAAATTTAAAGGAGGGTAAATATGGTCCCTTTTGAGACATTGTGCTCTACAAGGTCCACTGCAATGACTCAATTACTTTGTGCCAAAGAAGAAAGCATGTCGGGAATGCAAAATATTCTGAACCGAATGAAAACAATAATATGAATTATCAGAACTTGTGAGATTTAGCTAAAATAGTGTTAAAGGGAATTCATAACTTTAAATGAATATTAAGAAATAAATGTTCAAAATGAGGGTTCTCCTCTGTGTTTATATTGCTTTGTAAAATGAGTTGTTCAGTATTTTATCTTTCTCTTTTCTCCTGAATTGTTTATGAGTCAGTATTGTTTCTTTCTTAAATATTTGATGTTATTCATAGTTTTATCTTTGTGAAAGTTTTAAAATATGAATTTATTTATTTTTCCTTTTCTGAGACAGGATTTCATTCTTTAGCTCAGGATGGAGTGCTATGATATGATCACAGCTCTCTGCAGCCTTGAACTTTTCCTGGGCTTAAACAACCCTTCCCTCTCAGCCTACTGAATAGCTAGAACTATAGATGCATGTCACCATGCTGAACTGTTTATTTACTTTTCACAGAGTCTTGCTCTGTCACCCAGGCTGGAGTGCAGTGGTGCTGTCTCAGCTCACTGCAACCTCCGCCTCCCAGGTTCAAATGATTCTCCTGCCTCAGCCTCCTGAGTACCTGAGGTTATAGGCGCCCACCTCCACACCAGGCTAATATTTGTATTTTTAGTAGAGACGGGGTTTCACCATGCTGGCCAGGCTGGTCTTGAACTCCTGACCTCCAGTGTTCTGCCTACCTTGCCCTCCCAAAGTGCTGGGTTTACATGTGTGAGCCACTGCATCTGGCCATTTTAAAATTTTTCTTTACAGAGGCAGGGTTTCAGTATGTTGCCTAGGCTTGTTTCAAACTTCTGGGCTCAATCAGTCCTCCTGCCTCAGCCTCCCAAAGCATTGGGATTACAGTCATGAGCACTGGGCCTGGCCTCACTTTTGTTTTCTTATGAAACATAATATATTAAAGTTCACAAATTGCATGTATATTTCATTGAATTTTTACAGCTGCTACCTAGATGACGATATAGAACATGAAAGATTTAGATTTTACTTAATAGTTTCAGTAGACAATTAAGATTTTTTATTTTCATTTTTTTGGAAAGTTTTACCTAATTTTCTCTTTTTAGGGATTTGTTCATTTTATTTAAAATTTCTAGTTTATTTGGATAACGATACTGTTGTTTTGTAATGTCTTTTTACAGTATTTTAATGTTTGTAGGACCTATAGTTACATACTCTTTTTCATTCCTGACATTGGTTATTTATGCCTTATCATTTTTTTTTTTTTTTTTTTTTTTTTATTCTTTTTGTTTTTTTTTTTTAATTAGAGCTAGGGATCTTGCTATGTTGCCCAAGCTGGATTAGAACTCCTGGGCTTAAGTGATCCTCCCTAGGCTAAGTAGTAGCTGGGACTGCTGCTCATGAGGCACATGTCACTGTGCCTGCTATGCCTTGTCTTTTTCATTGATTCATTTTGTCAGGGTTTATCAAAGTTTTGGTCTTTCAGAAAACAAGTTTGGCTTTGTTGGTCCTCTCACTTGCTTGTTTTTAGTTTCACTTTTTTTTCTTAATTTTATTTTTCACATATTCTTTATTTTTATATTATTATTTTTTTTCTAATCCTTGAGATGGATGCTTCCAAACAACAGAGACTTTGTAGGTGTTAGGGTTTTTTTCAGGTAGGGCCTTTCCATGCAGCAAGCTTGGCCCAGGCCTTCCACATAAGAAGTGGAATTTGTTTACTTGATTTGAAAATAAAGTGAGTTAATCAGACTTAAGACTTACCTGTCTTACTGGGTTTTCTGTTTGAGAACTTGAGGTTTCAAGGTCTAGTTACTACTTCATATTTGTTTGTCTTTAAGTAAAATAAGATATGAGTCCTTAGGTTTTAACTGCAACACAACCAAGCTTCATGAAAGAAGTTAGTTTTTCTCTTCCGTTTTCTGGGATAACTTGATTAAGCAAAAATTATCTGTTTCTTCAAATTTAGATCATTTGTAAAACATATGGTTGAGGCTGCTTTGTTGGGAATGTCTGTGATTACCACTTTATTTAATGATGATCTGTTACATTTTTTGTATTTCTTTTGCCAGTTTTGACATTTTATAATTTCCTTGAAACAGCTATTTCCTTCTTAATTTGTGTGTAGTTAACTATATGGTCTTTCTCATTGTTGTTACTCTTTTTTTATTGCTCATTTTTACCTTTTTAAATTATCTGTGTTGTTAGAGGTATTTTTTTGTCATTAGCATTTTCAAAGAACCAGCAATCTATGCTGGTTCACTATTTTCTTTTCCCTGTTTTTTTTTTTGTTGTTGTTTTGTTTTTTTTTTTTTTTTTTTTTTTTTTT